AAAATAGAAAAATCTAAGTCAGCTTTCTCTTTACTAGTACAGGTTGCACTGAAAGGTTCAGTTAGTCTTTCCAACCCTGGGAAACAAAAAATAGAAAAATCTAAGTCAGCTTTCTCTTTACTAGTACAGGTTGCACTGAAAGGTTCAGTTAATCTTTCCAACCCTGGGAAACGAAAAATAGAAAAATCTAAGTCAGCTTTCTCTTTACTAGTACAGGTTGCACTGAAAGGTTCAGTTAATCTTTCCAACCCTGGGAAACAAAAAATAGAAAATTAATAAACAAAAAATAAAAGATAAATTCCTGTGTTAAGAAAAAGAATTTTGTTTGTATGTTTTATAGCAAAGCCATATTGGGCTATCAGCTGCATCTACCACACAAAAATGAATCCCATATTTTAGCGTTGCAAGTCCATAGACTTACTGCTTTCCCATCCAGGGAACAAGAATTTTTTTTTATAAAAATAAGGAAGTAAAGATATCTAGTATAGTGTGGAAAAACAAAGCCCTCTGAAATTTAAACACACTAGGTCTAAAAAAAATAAAATAACTCCCATAAAGCTCATCCATCAGAAACAAATCTAATAAACACTATGATATCTTGAAAGTAAATATTTTATGACCCTTTATGAATTAAAAAAATAAAGAAAATACTCCAAAAAATCACATAATCTTCTGGTATACTGTAGCTTGGGTTTGTCTTAATTCTTATCTTATATACTATTAAATAGAATATATTTAACCAAAATGTATCACATTTGTTTTATTTGTAAACCAAAACCACAGTGCATTCTTTCATAAATACATTTTTGAAGCGGGTCCAATCAGACAATTCTAGTCGTTCAGTTACAGCATAAGAAATGTAAATAAATGGTTTGAGAAAATATATTTTGTGCTAAAAGAATAGAAATTTACCAATTTATAAACTCGTTTGATAATTTTTACTGTTAACATTTTAAATATTATCAGTAATCTGATAATGAATCAGAATTTAAATGTCTCTGTTACAAACTAAAACAAAAAACATCACTGTTTTATAGACATTTGTGATTGCGACCCTTCCTAATAGTTAAACCATTACTCACTCTGTGTGTAATAGACTCCACTTCTACCTATTTAATCAGTTCTTTCTAAATAGAGGAAAAAAAATGTGAACCTAATTTCAATTCATGTCCAAAATAACATCATCTGTATAAATAAAAAAAGACATACACATAATTTAGAACTTCAACAATTGATGGTTATAAACCATGCTTTACTAGTTTATTGAAACTTGCATACAATTTCATATGAATTAAAAAATACTAGTTTTATTCACATGTCAAACATGATGTGTAAAGAAAGAGATTTAACTAACTCTCAATTACACTAATGTCAATAATAAGTTCATGGAAAATTAAGTAAAACATAAAAATAAGTCTTATATTCAATGAAAAAATGCTTACATGACATAATTACGCAAAATATTGATAATACATTTTTATGGAATGTTTTTTGTTTTTTTTTGGCTTGTGTAAAATACAGTTTCTTTTTGAAATAAACTAGCAGTAATAAGTACGAATCCAGTAATAAAAGATAAGGTTTTAACTCAAAAAACATTATGTAAAACTTCACATTGCTCATTCAAGTCTTAAAAATAATTTTTTATAAGGAAAACTGTTTATTTTTACAAAGTGTTTATATGGTGAATGTACAACAATGATGAAACTTCTAAAAATCACAAGAGAAATCCAGAACTTACAGTACCTTCACACATTTATATCACATAGAAATTGTCTCTACTGTTTAAAATTACCCTTCAAACTTTAATGATCCAGTACTTTTAGAGGTAATTTCATCTCCACTGATATTTCATGAAGAGCACAGCCTTCCAATTTTATTTCATAAGTTAAAACAATTTTTTTTACAAATTTAACCAATGACAGTCATCTGCAAGTCAAGCAAGTAGTACTGAACTACATTCAGAGCCTCCTGTGGACACGTATTGGTGAGAACTCCCAGAAATTTAGCAACAGAAAGCCTGCTTCTGAATTCCAGGATCAGCGCTTCCTCCAGAGTTTGCTCCATTTGAATAAATTTATACGGATAAAAAAAAGAGTCATCTCATGAATCAAGTCTGACACACTTGCTTCGAATGCTTAGGATAGAATTTAACATTTACTTCTTCAGTATTAAATCATTCATAATAAAAAATATTAAACACAAAAAGGTGTGTATTTAAAAATCTAAATCTAATGTTTAAGAACTCAAGACTTTTTAATCACAACCTCGTGACTTGCGATGTAGTTTTTAGAAAGGATTAGAAGGTTTATCTAATTACTAGTATTATGTAATAAGATTTGGTATTATACAAACAGGTTGAATAAGTTTTTTTCACACTAAAACCTATAAATTGTTCAGTTCTCTACTACTAACACCAGGTACAAGAGCACAAACAAATTATGTTGTGTATATGCGATTTTACTTTGAAAAAATAGTTACATGTAGAGTCATTAACACAATTTATAGGCTATATATTATAAAGTATTTGGAATAATTATGGAAATTCATACATGATGTATATACATGAGTCACAAATACGTGATATATATATATACACGAGTCACAAATACATGATATATATATATACACAAATACGTGATA